CCCCCCCGACGAGTGGAACGAGGAGCTCTTCTTCTCCATACGGGTTCGCGGAGGACGTTGGTGGAGATAGAAACCGGTCTTGGCTCTTTAAACGAAAGTGCGGGCAAGAGCTCGCCGACGACAAAACCCCGTCTGGCCACCGAATCTCCCCCCTGCGAGCAGAGGCGGCCGATTCTCGACGACACACACATACACACACACACAAAATAGAAACGCGCTGTCTCTAGCGTGATCGATCGATCGACCACGATTTTAACTTTGTTTCGTACCGAGCGATAAGCTAGGCTTGGACGAGCACTGCCATCTGCGACACCTAGCTCCTAGCATCAGGCGATTCTTGTCTTCTGTTTAACTAATAGCTTGCATTGCGTCTGGAGACTGCATAGCGAATGCGCCGTCCGGTCCTTTCCTCTCCAGCCTTTAACGCGTTCCCACGAGTCGTTGGCTTATTTGCCCTTTTCTACTTTTGATCGACACCTCCAATCCGTGTCGCTGACCGAGCTCGCATCGCGCATCATTGCTCTCTCCAGCAGATGGCCACTGCTACAGCAAGTGCGCCGAGGATCCCAGCCGCCGACCCCTCGGACTCGTCAATGGGCGTGAGGACCATTCCCATTATCACCACTCCAACCATCCAAATGTCGACCCCATCCCCGGGAGAGCCCATGGACATCACAACTCCGACGGGCTCTTCCGCCCCGGCCTCGGCCACCAAGAGCCCAGAACGCGACGTCAAGCCCAATGGGGCCTCCAACGACCGCTTACAGCCGCCCCCGGCGCCACACGAGCAGCAACAATCCCAAGACAGCAGCACCATGCCGGCCCCATCGTCGACTTCGACGTCAGCCTCAGCATCGGCCCCGACTGTCCACCAGCCCAAGGTCCAGACGGCCTTCATCCACAAGCTTTGGAGGTATGCCCCCGCTCTCCCTCGAGTCCGACCCTGGAGGCCATGTTCACTAAGTGTTACTATTACAGCATGCTGGAAGACCAAAAGATCCAACACCTGATCTCGTGGACAGCAAACTCGGACAGCTTCGTGATCCAGCCGTCGCATGAGTTCTCCAAGGTGCTAGCGTAAGGGGACAAGGTCTACTCTCTGTAGCCGGTGGGTCGACGCTAAAACAACTTGACAGGCAATATTTCAAACATACCAACATCTCCTCGTTCGTGCGCCAGCTCAACATGTATGGGTTTCACAAAGGTACGGCGTGGCAGAGTGGCCGTGGGGAGCTTGGATACGAGGGGAAAGCGTTTTGGTTTTGGAAGGCTGCTGACAAGTTTGGCACGCAGTGAGCGATGTCTTCGCCCACGGGACACCCGACTCGACAATGTGGGAGTTCAAGCACGGGAACGGCAACTTCAAGCGGGGCGATATGATCGGCCTGCGTGAGATCCGCCGTCGGGCTTCGCGCCACGCGCTAGTGCACCGAGAATACAACGGCCAGCGGCCACCCCCGTCACAGCCCGGGACGCCCGCGGAGCCTGTGGCCCCGGTCCACGATACGGCCTCCAACCCACGGCTCAGCAATATCGAGCACACGCTCTACGACCTGAGCACCCGCCTACAGCGCCACGAGGAGAATGCCCAGTTTATGCAGGTCAAGCACCAAGCGATCCTGGACACGGTCGCCCGCCTGCTACAATTCAACCAGGACCTGTCACGCGCGGTCTTGGCCCTGACGCCAGGCGTGGACAACCCAATCCATCGGGATGGTAAGTTGCTGTGGCGCCCATTTCCCTGGTTTTGTTCGCTTCGTTTGGTGGTACCAGTATAGCCTAATATTGTTCCCGGTACCAGTCTCGGTACTACAGTCCGAGGTGCAGCGGCAGATGGACATGTTCCGCTCGCTAGAGGAACACCACGAACCCGTCTTCCCGAGCTCCCGCTCCTACTTCGCCAACGTCGAGAACGCGCCGGTGTCTCCTCGGCAGATGCCCCAAGATGACCCCCGCCGATCGAACCTGGCCGTCCCCCAGTCGCGCCAGTCCAACTATTACCGCCCTTCGGTACCCTCGAACCTATCCATTAGTACTCGTCGCCCATATGGCTCAATAGGCGGCAACCCTTCGCAGACCTCGCCGTCCTCGATTCGTGTCCAACCCCCGCCTCCTCCACCCCCCGGACCGCACCCCCTGGCAAACGTCGAGCTACCCCCGAGCAGCCTTGCCCGGCGGCACACCTCAGCCGACATCCGGGCCCACGGCTGGCAGACTAACAACCCACCGCCGTTCCCCCCCGGCCCGTCCTCGTCGTCCCAGTGGCCCCCATCGCCTAGCCGGCTCGCGCCCGGAGGTGAAGACCATCGTGGCCGCGACTCCTTCTCTCATTACTCCCTCCAGCCACCATCCCAGCCGCATTCGCGCCCCACGACACCCCCGCTACCGCATCTATCCAACGGCGGCCCGCCCCCAGCCGTCGACACGTTTGGGAGCTGGTCGTGGAACTCGGCCAACCGCGGCAACAGCAACAACAACAGTAGCAACAACCTGATGGTTAAGGACCACTCGGCACCTCCCACACGCCGCGGAAGCATGGCACACATCCTGAACCCCACCGATACGGCCGAGCGCGCGGACGAGGACGGGCTCGACCCGCGCGGGGACGACGACCGCAAGCGCAAGAGGCTGCAGTAGCGGGTTTCGGTCGTGCTACGATCGACGTACCGCTCTAAGGGGTGATTTGTCTTTTATCTCTTGGTGTCTACCAGCCATCTTGTCCGAAAACGATGTACAAGCTATGTCTCGAAACTTTCAACCACGCAGACACAGTGGGAGTCTGTTTATCTACTTTTGTTTTGTCTTTTTATTGCCCTTGTTATATGTCAAAAATACACAATTGTTCCTTTTTTTTGTCATTTTTTATTCATTTGCATTTATGTGTAATACTATAACCGCCCGCGAATGATCTTGTCGACGAATCGACGATGTCAAGAACAACCAAACCAATCTCCTGATGCTTTAGGATCAGCAGGGAGAAATATAATTAACAAACCAACTTAATGCGCTTATTTAGCTACCAGTCGCTGCTGGCTGTCAGTTATCGTTATTGTTTGCTCCTGATATTTGTCATTTCTCACCGCTGTTGTGGATTTCCTCGGCTTTCTGCTATGTTCCCGCTAATCAAGCAAATTGTCTGGACTTCTTGACGGTATGACGATGGTACGTATGGTCTTGGTTTGGGACCTAATCATCCGTACGGTTCAGGCTTCCTTCTCGCGGCCTTCTCCTTTTTCTTTTCTTTCTCTTCCGGCTAGTCGGTGTTTGTTAGCATTTACATGGCGGGATCGTTATCGATCGATCTAGCAGGGCGGCGGCAATATGCCAATTGTTTTTGGGGTTCTCAGATGTGTGAGGTTGTGGATATGTGTAGATGGATGAATGGGGCGGATGAGGTAGGGAAGAGGGGATGGTTGGGAATTTTGAGTTGGATCTGATTTTGGGACTCGTCGTTTGAAGAAGCTTGTTGGAAAGCCTGGGCGGTTGGTAGGCAAGAGTCGATGGCTCGGCTTGGGGAGGGTGGATGGATGGATGAATGGAGGCCGAATGATGGCGGGACGCATCTGTAATCGCTTCCGTCATGTATTTGTATTTGTGTCTGTTTTATTTTGTCTCGCATTTTGTACGTGTACTACACTACTTGGTCCTGTTTCTCACATTCGTAATCTTGCTCAGGAAGCTTGTTGGATCTTGATTCTGACGATGTCTGGAGAGTGTAAGCTAGTTGTAGTTGAAGCGCAGTTTGGTTAATGTCTCTGGGGTGATAGTTTGTCGTTGATTGGAAGGGTTGCTCGGAGGGCGAGGTGATGAAGTTGTGGTCTTTAGTTGGGCTAGGTACTGTACCTCATCTCACGGCGCTTGGGCTCTAATTATCAACTTTTAGGACACATTATTGTGGTCATGTTCAACAATGTGAGCGGTCAATATGTGCCTAGCTGCTGTGTGATTTATTTGGCAATAGGAATGCCGTGGATCAACTCTCGCAGTCAACCATACGACCTGCACAAAGCCTTGCTTATTTCCTTTGATCAAGCAGATCTGCTAGCCTCTCCCTGGCCGCCATTCGCCTTCTTCTTTTTCTTGTTCTTATTCTTGTTCTTCCGCTTCTTCTCAACCTCTCCGTCCTCCTGTTTCTCCCCTTCCACTCCCTCAACTTTCTCAGTCTCCGTATCCCCCATGATCACATCACCCTCAGATGTTTCCTTCTCATCCACACTCTTACCGTCCCCATCCCTATTGCGCCCCCCGGGATCCCCCTCAAGCTTCTCCTCAAGCTTCTCCGCCTTCACCTTCTTCCTCGGCCCTTCATCACCCCCAATCCCCCCTCTCTTCCCCCGTCTCACAAGCCCCCCCCTCCCCACCTCCTCCTCACTCTCACTCTCTTCAACCCCGCTCTTATTCCCCTTCCCCCCTTTCCCCCCCCCCCCCCCCCCCCCCCCCCCCCCCCCCCCCC